AAGGAAAAATATCGCGTCCTATCGATTGACGGGAGGCGGGGTGAGTACGGTAATTGCAGTGACATTTGCCGCATGCCGCAAGGGAGAATGCCGCGATAGGGGAGAAGTTCCGTTACCCGTCAGCAACCCCAGCCTAGGACTTCCATCTAATGGCCTGCTCATGTGGTGAGCTTTCTCGCTAGGCGGTCGCTTTGCGAATTTAAGGCACCCAAGCGTTCTTCTGTCGAACCACGATGTACCATAGGATTAGAACCTTTCCTCAGGAACCCTTAATAAGTGACATAGGTGATATGGATCAGGCCCAATATGCGCAATGGAGTGCTTAGGTGGAGCTGGAGCATCATCAGAGCTAACATTGCTGAAAAGTGGCTCGAAAAGAGAAACTTTGGCTTTGAATTCAATCAGCCTAGTCGCTTCGCAACTATTTATTTAGCAGCCTAGTTGGATTCACCTGGGCTAATATTACTTTATTTGATATATTATTTCCTTTCTTGATATTCAGAGAGCACTTACAATACGAGCAAGCATCGACCCCTGACCCCTTTCATTCAATCCCTGCCTGTGCAGGCACTGTAAGCTCTAGTATGATCCAAAAGAGTAGTGTAACTAATCAAGGTTGTGGCGTGAAGTCGCTAGTTGTGTGTCGCCTACAGCTCTGAATTCATATTGATCTTAACAATAGTCATCCGTTGGAGAATCTATTCATTTATTGAGCCTGCTTACGCAATAAACAACAAGAAAGTGCAGACATCCAGACAGATTGATGTTTTAGAGTTGGCAAATTTTTACAACAAGCCAATTAGTTCAACCGGTAAGTAACAGATCAACAAAAGATGTAACAAAATTGTGAAAACCTTAAATGATAAGGTTCGGAAGTCCAGTCATTTTCGGTTCATTAGACTCGGTAGTAGGTGAGCTTTCACTTAGGCTATTTGGTTGGGACTCGCTGCAGAATTTCTCAAGTACTGGTACTACACTAAAATCTTTAGGAACCACAGATGAATTTTTTATATTATGTAAGCTCGTCTGCAAAACACTGCCGTGAAGGAATTATAATATGTCCCTTTGTTACTGCATATCTACTTTATATTACTTCGAGCCATCTTATTGATTTGTACTCCGGATCGAAACCGCTGAGGCTATGCCATCGAAAAAAAAACTAAACAAAGTCGGCACTTTCAGAGAACAGCGCTGAGCGTTGAGCGCAGGGCGTTGAAGATGAATAATCTTCACCGCGCTTGACAGGGTCCGCGCTGGAGCATGTTAGGGTCAGTTTCCGAACAAAAGCTGCGTAGAGCTCTTCCAGATAATGTAATTTTGTCACATTACGCCATAGGCTGCTTTCATAGTCCGCCGGCCGGCCTGCCGCCGTGCCAGGCGAAGCAGTGCTAAGGGGGAGGAGGGAGGCAGACGGTCGGCGGAAGGGCTGAAAACAAAGAAGAACAAGATCAAACAAGATCAAAAACCAAACAACCAGGGGCTTGTACAAATGGTTTTTGACCTTGTCTCTCTTTGTTTACAGCCCTTTGAAGGGGCTGATAGACCGTCTGTCTCCCTCCTCCCCCCCAGCACTGCCTCGTCTGGCACGCCGGCCGGCGGACTATGAAAGCAGCCATAGCAGTCAAAAAAATAAAAAACCAAGTCAGTGTACTAAAAAATAAAAGAAAGTGAACTGAATTAATGAAAACTCGACAAAACAAAAATTCACTGCCGCCAGTGTTATCAGTTGACGAGCGACGTGACAGCAGAGCCGCGCTCAGCGCTGAACGCTCTACATTCAAAGATGCCAGTAAGAAGAATACTTATAAACAAGCAGCTATTATTTACCGATCAAACGTTGGCCCCATGGAGCCCCTGCATGAATCTTGTGAAGAGCC